GCTGCCTTCCTGCCGTAACCTCAATCCGTCTAGACCTCAAGGTCGTGGCGAACGCTAGACTTACTGGCGCGCGAGACACGGACCGCACACGTCTTTTCCACCCACACGCTGTCCAACTAACCTTTAAGGCCTACTCAGACACCGAACGCTTTATCTCGCCGTCTACTGGCCTGACTGCTGTCAAACCAGCACATGGACGCGGCTGGCTCTCCTAGCTGGTCGTAGCTCTCCCAGTCAAATCTCTGTCCATCTATTCTTCGTTCCTCTGTGCACACAATATACTGTTCCTAGTACTCTGGCCTCTAACAATTTTTTCTATACTAAGTAACCATGGTCTGAAGATCGCAGTTACTAGGGTTTAAGTTACTTAACCGCCTGCGATATAAGTACGAATATGACGAAGAGCAACCTCCATGATTTGTATATTCTTCTACGAGCTACACCTGTCAAATTACTCCCCACATGGTCTCGAGGAGAGAGCTCCCTGCTTCTGAGCGTTGTTAAAGCCCATTAAACGGCGTATTTGTTGACCCTGCGAATTCATGCTAAGAGCAATACCCACAACGTGCCCAGTATGGACTACAAGTACTGCGCAGCCACGACCTACTGTTTCGAAATCTAACAGCGAAACGATTGACCCACGGGCTTCCACCGAAAACGTAGTTGTCCTACGCAGTCTCCCTCCTCCTTTCCAAGCCCAGTAGTCACAATAAGAAGAGGCACCAGTCAGACAAATGCGCTTAGTTTTTTTCAAAAAAACCTGCCAAGCGTACGATAAAATAGGGGATAGCAGACATTCCAGCTGGACCTTGTGGGAACTGGGAAAGGGGGAGTGGAAGGTGAACAGAGCCGCCATTGCCAAGGACGCTGTTTTGGAAGGGTACGAGTAATCTACGTAGTATAAAAATATACACAGTGCAACATTATTAAAAGTGACTTAAAATCTTGGTGACATTATACAGCGAACAAGACGGGGGTGAAATAAAAGTTTTTTTTACAATAGACGGAAGGTGGATGGTTATCGGCTTAAAACGGCGCAAGAAGCCGGCTGCCATTCCCTGATAGGATCGCCGCCATCCGCTTTCAGTGATTTACAAGGCCACGAATTTCCTTCATTCGATGCAGAAAGAAGGCCTCTAGGACGTCCGTGCAGTAGAACTCGTTGGAATCCTTGGGGTGCAGGAGACGGGCATTGGAGAAGAGCTGATTACCGGCAAACGAGAAGTCCCCCAGGGAGTGGTAAGCGCCAGCCTTGAAGTCGGCAATAAGGCGTGGAAGATCTGTACGGACAGTAAAGAGACAGACGTGGTAAGATGGGAAGAGGTGTGATGAAAACAAAAACGGCTACTTACATTTAATAAGTAGGCATCACACACAAAAGTTAACTTACCAATTGGTTCTTTCAGTTGCGGCCGTTTGCTCTCAAGGACCGAAGCTGGCGGACGTTTCATGAATGGCCATGCCAACTTGTGTGACTAAAGGAGGAAATAAAAACGCAAAGCGTGAGTATTCTCCAGGCAAAATGGGCGAATTATCCAGGACAGAAGTGTAGCCCTCATGGCTGCACGAAATCGGAACGCCTGGTTGCTAAAACAAAGGAAAAGCAGCAGCAGCAGCAGCAGCAGCAG